AAGTTTAGCTGTGCTTGAATAAATAGGGGACTGGTTTTACTTCTTTGTAAGACAATGATTCAAGGATCTCTGTAACTAGGAAAGGGGCAGCATTTAGAATTCCATATAGGCAATCACAAAGATATTGAATTTCTCTCAATTAATTCATTAGGTTAAGGCTGATGGCAGGTGGAAGCTTTATATCTGAGCGCTCATTGTTCTTTTTCTTTCACAGACCATCTTCATAAAAACCTGACATCTGAGAGCAGACAGTTGCTTCACGAGGGGAGGAGATGGCACATGAAAGTCTCACCACTACTTGCTAGACACGCCTCTTGCAACATGGAAGCCTACAGTTTGGCTCAGGTTCCAGTTTCCCACCTAGAGCACAGCAAGTGAGACTCACAAAACCTACTTCTGATGAGAATGTGATACGGAAACTTCTGAAGGGCAGTCAGTCATGTGTAATGATTCTCATGGCCTCCCACGTGGCACAGGCACCTGGGAAGCTCCCTCCAGTACATTCCTCAGCTTGCCTGGGCATGTGGATTGCAAAGCAAACTTCTAGAACAGGCTGGTGCAAGACTAAGTTTCTGCATTTCTGATACTTTAAAATATAATTCTGAGGCAGATGAACATGAACTAGTGTCACTTGAAAAATATCAAGTGAGTAGACTGAAAGAGAATAGGCTGGAAGTAATGATGCTAAAAGATTAAAACTGAATTACCAGCAATATAGAATATTATATAATCCATGTTTCATTATCTGAAACAACAGATATTCAGGGTGTTTGACTCGTCTGTTAGTGGAACGTCAGTAACCAGTCACTACCAAAAGGGAAGTGGGGACTAGATTTGAAGTACCCATTTCCCTATGTGTAAAGTGCATGGACCTGCATCCCTAGCACAGACTCAATGCAAAAGTGGTGCATGTGCTGTTCCAGCTTAAAGAACTTGAGGTGGGGTGGCTAGGAATAGCATGTGTCTTTCCTTTGCTTTCCTCACTGATCTCCTTCAGGGCTGGCTTCAGACTAGACCTGGGGCTACCTACCAGCTGAGTTCTACCCTGAAACCAAAGACTAGCTCTGCTTCTGTTGAGTGTCAAGAATCATCAGACAAGGCTTCCCGTGTTTTTCACCTTTCATTTATTTATTATTACTTCTGGACACTTTTCAAGGCTGCACTCAAGCTCCCTATATAGCTGAAGATGATTTTGAATTTCTGATGTGCCCGACTCCACCCGCTGAGTGCTGGATTACTGGTGTGCACCACCATACCGAGTTGTGCTGTGCTGAGGGACTGAATCCATGCCTTCATGCATAGTAGACAAGCAACTCTATCAAGCTGATTCCCCAGCTATATTCTGTATTTATAACATTTTCTTAATTATGTCCCTGGACAATGACATCATCACTCTCGTTCTCTCCCCCAGTGATGGTTTCAATGAAAATGTCCCCCATAGGCTCTAAGTATTTGGACATTTTTTTCCCAGATGATGGTGCTATTTTGGGAGGTTTTAGAAGTTGTGGCTATCCTGGAGGAAGCACATCACTGGGGGTGGGCTTACAGAGTTCTGAAGCCTTGCCAGATCTCCAGTCATTCTCCTGCTTCCTGTCCCTGTGTGATGATGTGAGAGCTAGATTCTGCTGCTCCTGCTCTAGCCACCTCCAGCCACCATGCCTCCCTGCCATGATGGACTGTAATTCTCCTGGAACCGTAAGCTCAAATGAACTCTTCCTTCTATAAATTGCTTGGGTCAGTGTTTCTATCACAGCAACAGAAAAGTCATTAATACACTAATTGGTGCCAGAGAGTGGGCCAATGCTGTGAAGAACCTGACCATGTGGGGTTTTGAAGAAATGTGGAAGACTTTGGAAGGTTGGGCTAGAAAAGTGGTTGATTGCTATAAGCAGAGCTTAACAGGCTACTCTAGTAGGGGCCTGGAAGAAAGCAGTGCTGAGAACAATGTAGTTCAAGAGGGAAATAAGGACATAAGGAGCACTTGGGATATTTTGACAAAGAGTATGGCTGGAGTCTGCCCTCTACCTAAAAGCTTGCTTGAGGCTAAGTTGAAAAGCAATGAACTAATTTCTTTGGTGGAAGAAATTTCAAGATAGCTTAATGTAGAAATGGTGGTATGGCTATTAATGGTGAATATTATGCAGATCTACAGTGAAAGAGAGAAAATGGGGCAGAAAGAAATACAGTTTGGATTAAAAAAGAGCACTAGGAAGATTAATCTTGGAGCCCTGGCATGTGATGAAGTTAATCCCATTGATAAGGAGGTTAAAGTGATTAATGAGATTAAAGCGATTAAGGAGGGGCCTAGAGATTCAAACTTAAACAATAGAAAGAGTGCCTCCAGGGCAAGACCACACCCAGTTGAGCCTCTAATTTATGAAAGGAAAATGCTGCAGGGACCACTGAAGAGAAAAGCTTCTAAAATGGGTAAAACAGGGTGGAGTCCATCCCAAACTTGCAAACTTGGCAGTGTGGTTCATCTGGTGCTGGCTTTAGAGGCATGAAATATGCAAGAGTGAAGGGTTCATCAGTTCTTCCTCCAAGGTCTCAGAGAGCCAATGAGGCCAAGCAGCATGCAACAGGGGTACCTCTGCCTAGAGAAGGCCCTGATAGGCCATTGCATGAAGCTGTGAAGGTTGGCAATGGAGACCCCAAGAAGTTTGTGATGCCAGAGCTGTGAGGCATATGCCAAGAAGACCTGCATACAGAAGAGCTTAGTTTCTGCTGCTCCTGCTCCTGCTCCAGCCACCAAAAGAGATGTGTGCTGCACACAGCAAAGCTAGAGAGACTGAGCCATCTAAGCCCTTTGGAAGTAAAGTCCCAGGAGTTGGACATGGAGCTACTGGATTTGGTGTTTGCCCTGCTGGTTTTCAGTCTTGTTTTGGTACAAAATTCCCTTACTATCCCTCCAGTCCTCCCCTTTGGAATGGTAATGTGTATTTGGTTCCAGTGTATATTGGGAGTATGTAATTTGTCTTTTGATTTTATAGAGGCTTACAGTTCAGATATTGACCTGAGTCTCAGAATAGACTTTGGACTGTGAACTTTTGAATAGTATTGAGACTGATAATGACTATGGGGACTTTTAAAGTTGTACTAAATGCATTTTGCATTTTATGTGGTCATGAGCCTATGGGGGCCACGGGGGTGGAATGTGGTGGTTTGAATGAAAACGTCCCACATAGGCTCCAAGTATTTGGATATTTTTGTCCGCACATGGTGGCACTGTTTTGGGAGGTTTTAGAAGGTGTGGCCCTCCTGGAGGAAGCGTGTCGCTGGGGTTGGGCTTAGAGAGTTCTTAAACCTTGCCAGATCTCCAGTCATGCTCTTGCTTCCTGGGACTGCATGATGATAATGAGAGCTTCATTTTTGCTTCTCCTGCCCCAGCCACCTCCAGCCACCATGCCTCCCTGCCATGACAGACTGTAATTCCCCTGGAACCGTAAACTCAAATAAACTCTTCCTTCTATAAACTGCTTGGATCAGTGTTTCTATCACAGCAACAGAAAAGTGACTAATATGCCCCCCCAACCATGACTTTTTTCTCTACTTTGTAACCTCAGACCCAAAATTCAGATCTCTAAATTTCCATACATCTGCACATACTCCTAAGATAACCTAATCAGGCCTGAGCTTGATTAGATTCAAGCTTTAAATGCAATCTCCATGTATAATATCTAAATATACAACTACATACAGACTGTCAGCTTCCCCAATAGAACACTTGACTTCTGTGGCAATAATTACACTTAAATGAGCATATTAAAAGCAATCTCACCAATTTCCCCATGTGCTCTTTTTCATATCTGTAGATGGTAGAAACATGTGCCTACAACTTCCTTCAAGTTTCTTAGACTTATGTTTTTACTTTCACATTCCCATGTGATTCCCCAGTGATAGCGGTAGATCTCCTTTTAAATTATGTTCCAGATTTGATCTCTTCATGGCACTACAGCACTAAAACTATATTTTAGGACACTGGAATTTATTGCCAGATGACTAAAATAGTCTTTAAACTTCATTTGTTTGAAATGAACTAGTAAATGCTACTATATACAACAAACATGTTTATAGCTTCCCAGGATACTTAGAAAAAAATCAAAATATGGACATAGGTCCACAGAGTCTCATAACTCCTACCCAAGCTTAACCCTCCAAACTCATAGTCTGACACTTCTTTTGTAAATACATGCTAGTCACACTGCACTTCTCTCTGCTTCTGCAGGAAGTAAAGCAGCATCTGCTTGCCTTTATAGATCATAGAGTAGATAAATATGTACATATGATAAATTATGGAGCTTAATCAGTACTTAAAATAGCATTCATACAATCCTATTTCAATTCAAGAAATTAACAAAGTTTTAATTAAATATGGAACAAAGCAAGGTTCTGATTGTGGGAATGATATCAGCTTACTGGATCAGCATCACTAACTACTGAATAACCATCACAGCATAAAATGTGTGATATATAAATAAGAGTGTCCTTTCTTTATTATATTGAGGCAAGGTCTCAGGTTACTCAGACTGGCCTTGGTTCATAGTTAAGGATTCCCAGAACTTCTGATCCTCCTGCTTTCATTTACCAGGTATTGGAATTACCATATGTGTACCATCATGCACAGCTAAATAAGAGTTTTCTGTAACATTAATAAGATCAATTAGACAGATTATCTGATTAAAAATTTAAAATTGCTACTTGTCAGTTTCTAAAATTCATGTATGCCTTATGGTTGATATTCTACATTGAAAACAGTAATTTAAATGTCATATGCTTTTAAATGTTCCTCTATAATATTTTATGATGACTAAAGTGTTATTAATTTATAGTGTCAATTCACTTAGGCACTTTAAAAAAGTGAAAAGCTTTTACATTAACAGCAAGTCCCAAAAGAAAAAATTAGAACCTTCCAAAAATTTAAGACAGTGAAGTTCCCTTCCCAGTCAACTGTGATGGTATCAACTGCAACAAAATGAGGACAGCCACATCCTGCTTCTTACCATTCACTTGGAAGATGTGTGTCTGATAGATGTTTTCATAGCCTTCTGCATAGCAGGTGTAATTTCCCATGTGAACTGTGGTAACCTTGGTGATATACAGGGAGCCATCATCGCCAAAGTCCTACAGAAACAAAATAAAACCCCTCATTGTTTTCAAGAGCAAAGTGAATAGATTAAACATTTTTAAATGATCTAGATTACCAATATAAATGTGAAATATGTTGGCTTACCTTTTTTTATTTTGACCTTTTTGAGACAGGGTATCCCTGTAGCCCCAGCTAGCCTGGACTCAATCTCACAGAAACACACCTGTCTCTGCCTCTGAAGTGCTGGGATTAAAAGTGTGCACTACCATGACTGACTTTGGCTTACCATATTTCAAAATGCATTTCCTTTAAAAAGTGAGCTCTCACTGACAAATATAACTTTTCCATATTTATTTGGAATATATGAATTTATAAAATAACTCAGTTTCCATATTTGTTATTTTAATTTATGTTTTGATTAATAAAGCTATACCAAGTTTTTGACTTATAAACTAAAAAACTGTACACTTTTTAGATTTGTAGTTATCCAGTAATTTTTGCACTAGTTAGACGTACAAATACCAATAGAAAAATAGCTATTAAAGCTTTGTACTAAGTGATAAAACTTATAGCCAAATCATGGAACAGAATTTTTTGCTTTGTTTTGTTTGTGGACAACTGGGGATTAAATCCAAGCCCTCACTCATGGTAAATATGAAGTCTAATACAGAATTATACTCAGCCAAGGTTTAACTGTAAAGCTCAGAAGTAACTGGTCATTTGAGTAAATTAACCATGCTATTTCAATTTGTAGGAACAAATGCATCCACTTCAGGGGTAAGAGTGAAAGAGTCAGACACTGTTTGCCAAACTCCAGTCCAAGAAGTAGCTATGGAACAGAAGAGTACAGACCAGAAAGTTTTCTCTTCTAAAAAGCAATGAATGTCATGGAGGAAATAGTCAAAGCCATTTTTTAGTACTTTAGTGAAAGACAAACGCTCTTAACAGCCATGACTCATTTCATTTGGAATAACTACATGTGTGCATTTTAACATGATTTCCTCATAAGATCCTTCTAAAAGGATAACTTTGGACCAGTAGCCCATAACTGCACTACCTGTGAGATCCATCTTCAGAGCAAAGTCTGGAGGGGAGAGAATGGGTTTCAAGCTCCCACAGGGCCCCATACTCAGAGTCATGTGTATTTGACCTGTTGGGCATACATTTCCATGACTTCTCTTTATTGAGCAAGACTTAATGACCCCTATGGATAGACAATTCTATCTTTAACCCTTTACTACAAACAAAAGCTAGTACTTGCTCAACATTACATTGTCTTGAGACACATACTTGGTAGGAATCAAACTAAGCTGACAAAAAATCTTAAAAGCAAAACTGGAGAACGGAATTGCCACAGAGATATTTGAAAAGCCGCACATGTTCCTGGAACCATAGAAGCCATGCAGAACTGAGGGGCTGGGTCGCTGCTGATTAGAAATGTGACATTTCTAATCTCCCATCGCTGGCTGACTTGGAGACTCTAGAATCAGGAAGGAAAGGCTAAGGCAAATTTAAAAACTGTCCATAGGTACATTCTATGTGTGACACAAAACAGAAATAAAATGTTCAAAGTTGTAGAAACATATTCATTCAAAACATTGAACTAGGGGTTGGGGTTTGAACTCAGTAGTTCTGTCCTCAGCTCTAGAAAAAATTAAATTAAATACAAACTTTAACTGACTGCTAAGAAAATGATGCATGGATTTTTGTGTTCTAGCGGACTCATGTCACAGCTCCCCATGGAAGTAAACAAGTAAATTAGACTTCATGATAATAAAAAAAATGTTTCCCCACCAAAGGGCACTATTGATAAAAAAAAAAATGTCAAGCTCAGATTGGTGACACATATCTTTAATCCCAGTACTTTGGAGGTGGGTCTCTATGAGTTCAGGACCAGTCTGGTCTACATGAAAAAAGGGGGTGCTGGAAAGTTGACTCAGCAGTTATAAGCAGTGGCCAGCATACACATGGCAGCTAACAATCATCTGTAACTCCAATTCCAGGGAATCCAATGCCCTCTTCTGGCCTATGTGGGTATGGCACATATGTGATACACACACATAACATGCGGAAAATGCATTCATATACAATAAATAAATAAAATTTTAAAAGTCAACCAAGGATAGTGAGCTATTTAAAAAGAAAAGAAAAAAAAGTCTCATAGAATGAGAGAGCATGCTTGCAGATTATTTATGTGGTATTTATCTGTGTCTTGGTATTTATGTGTTTTATATCTGAAATAATGATTGATTGTATCTGAAATAAAGAAAAATAAATAAATAAAAAGGCAAAGAGTTCAATTAAATTGATGGACAAATAAAGTGTTTAAAATAGGAAATAAGAGCCGGACGTGGTGGTGCACGCCTGTAGTCCCAGCACTTGGGAGGCAGAGGCAGGCGGATCTCTGGGAGTTCAAGGCCAGCCTGGTCTATATAGTGAGTTCCAGGACAGCTGGGGCCACAGGGAGACCCTGCTTCAAAAAGAACAAGAAACAAAAAAGGAAAATAAGAAATTAAAAGATGCTTAGCATTATTGATTATAAAGGAAATGAAAATAAAAAGGAGATACTTCCCATGTTTTGCTCACTAAGATAGCTCTAATAAAGAACAGAGAAAAGATACTTCTTTAGAGAGAAGATGAATATTTTAGAAATTTCAAACATCATTGGAGAAAATATGACCTGGTATATCCACTTCACATAACAGTCTGGCAATTCCTCCAAAAATGTAATGATTATGATAACTAGCCATCTCACTTCTAGATATATACTCAAAAGAATACAGATCATCTACACAGAAACCATGTACAAGTTCACATCCACTTATTAGCCAAAAGCTGAAAACAGCCTAGATGCCTGTCCAAAGATAATGGATAACAAATGCATTAGAGCAACACAGGGAATATCAGTTACTACTAAAAAGGTTAAGGTACTGATTTATACATAATGTGAATAAATCTTGAAAATGTTATATTGCATTGAAATTTCCTGATAGAAAAAGTCTCAGGTTGCATGCTAGCAATTATTTGAAATATCCAGAATGGAAACATGCAAGATAGAAGATAGACTTTATCTAACTGAGGCCCGAGGGAATGAAGGATGGAAGCTACTGCTTATAGATACGAAATCCTTTTTGTAAGAATGAATTGGTCTAAAATTTAATAGCAATGATGACTGTACAATACTAATATACTATAAACGACACTTAAAAGTGGAAGTCTCAAATGAGTCTGGTGGTAAAAGGTCTCTGACTACACAATTACCAAAAATTAAATCAAAATCAAACATGAAATGATTTTGAGACGTCTGGGCAGGTAACTTACTGCAGCTTTGGTTCTGAACGCACAATAGTTGTGCTCAGCACTCACTGAATGTGTCAGGCATGTCTCTTTGAGTCACAAAACACCCACAAATGCTGCCAGAGTGCTTCAGCTCAAGTTCCACACTATTGTCTGTCACTGTACATACAAAGTTTCTTTCTCTTGTAAAAAAAAAAATGATTAAATTACAGGGGAAAAAGACTTTTAATATCATTCTACCATTATTCTTCACAATGTATCAAATTAGTCATCTTTTAATTGAATCACTTTAGAATGTTAGGTGTCAAAAATTGCTGTTTGAAGTGTTGTTTCATTTTCATAAAAAGAAAAAAATTAAGAGAATTTTGCCTTAGGATTATGTAGAATTTCCAATACATTCTAAAATGGCCCTAAATATGCTTCTTCCATTTTTTGCATTTTGTGCTGTGTATTCATATAAAGCATTGTTCTCGCACTGACAATTATTTTTTTTTAATATTTTATTTATCATTTTTATTTTATATGTATGCATGTATTGCCTGCATGTAGGTAAGTGCACCTGTGTCATGCAATGCCCACAGAGGACAGATGAAGCTGTCAGATCCCCTGGAACTGGAATTATGGACAGTCATTAGCTGCCATGTGGATGCTGGGGTTCAAACCTGGGTCTTCAGTTAGTGTTCTTTACCGCTGAGCCATCTCCCCAGCCCCAGCACTGATGATTATGAAATCAAAATCTGAGTCAGCTATAAACACTGAAGTTGCTCTGTGTTCTGCAGTATCAAATATTCAGACAAGATGTCTTTATGTGAAATAAATAATCACATCTCATTATTATGCAAATTTTCTTTTAGCATTCACATATGGTAAATTTATAAATATAATCACTTTAAAATAAATTTTAAAATGTATTGTTAGTAAATGTTTTGTCTTCATACTTTTTTATACTTTATATACCCAGGGGTGCATAAAAGTTTCTACAGCATAAGGACCCCATTATATATCAGTGTTGTATATAAATTTATGGCATGGATTAAGACAAAATAGAGCTGTTATTAAAAATAAAGGTCCATGTGTTAATTATATATAAAAATAAGCATGGTATAACTGAATATGAAAATATTTAAAAATCAAAATAAAACTTTTACAGAGTTGAGAACATGTGAAATAGGGTTCCATCCCCTGACCAAAGCTGCATGCTACGGTGTGCATCTCTAATCCCAAAACTCTATGGGGAAATTGGACGTGGAGACTGGAGAATTGTCAGGAGTTCTTGGACCATCTGGCCTGGAGTACTCAGTGTGAAATAAACAAGAGAGCCTTCCTCAACAAGGTGGAAGACAAGATCTGACTCCCAAAATGTGTCTTCCGATCTCCAAACATTCACTGTGGCGCATGTGCCCCTGTACAAACACACGCGCGTGCACACACACACACACACACACACAATCAATAAATCAATAATTATTTTTAAAGAACATGTATGTATAAAAGAGTCAGTTCTTGAGTTTGCATGGTCTTACCTTCAAGTTCTGGGAGGCAATTTAAGGGCTGTGGCAATAGCCTGTGTAATTTTGGGAGTGTTTTGGACCACCCTGGCCAGCAACTTAAAGTAAGGTTTTTCCTGTCTGGCACTGTTTCTTGTCCTTTAGCCTTCATCCATACACATGGATTCATGTAGATATTGTATGCGTAATTTGTCATTAGGTTGTTGGATTAATATGATGGCAAATGATTA